GCTCCGGCTTGCTGTCGCCTTAGGTGCGTGGCCGGCGGCGCACGGAGACGTGCTGGCCGCCGAGCGCCCCTGACCAAGGGCAGCGGACCAAGGGGCAGAGAACCGAACAGCTGAGGACGACGTTTCAGAGTATTAAATGAAAATGGCAATTGGACTAAAGTACCACGCGTATGTGTTATAAAGTAACCAGGAGAGGGAGAACCCGCAGGGTTGGCATGAGTATAATCGGCGTTCCTACTAAATTCATGAGTGGGATAGGGAGACAGGGAAATTTTAAAGACTGCACATTAAGAAACCACTGTGGGGCGGCGAGCCCAGCGGTCTGCAGGTGGTTTGGAGTCTGGGTCATTAAAAGAACAAGATGAAAAGAAAGGAAGAAAAGAAGACTGGGCCTGGGGCACCGGATGGCTTATGCCTGTAATCCTGAGCCTCTGGGAGGCCAAGGGCAGAGATCACTTGGAGGCCCAGGAGTTGGAGGGCATGCAGTGGGCGTGTGAGAGAGAGGAGCCCAACTGCACTCTAGCCCAGCGGCAACAGAGCAAGACCCTGTCTCAATTAAAAAAAAAAAAAAAAAAAAACCACTCAGATGTCAGTGTAATGACACATCATAAATAAAATCCAAACAAATTCACTCGGGCAGAATTTCACACCTACTAGCAAAACTGAAAGAAAACAGAGGCGGCACCATCCAGGCCCCCCGGCTGTCACAGCCTGCACGGCGCCCCTGCCGCAGGCACCCTCTGTCTGGGCCACTGCAGGTGCTGATGCTCCCAGCGTCCTGGACTCTAAGCACCGACCCCGCCCCGCACCCACTCCAGCCCCAGTGGGCGCCTGCTCGCTGCTCTCCCTCTGGGCACGTCAACTCCTGAGACGTGAGGTGCGCAGAAAGCCGGAGGGCAGGTGGCCCAAGCGTGCGTCTGTCTCTGCCTCTCAGCGAGTGGCCGATTTCTCTAAGCCATGGAGGTCCTCGATGAAAATACAGTGACCTCCACAGACTGCATGGGGTTCGTGAGGATTGCACGAGATGATACACGCAATCATTACAGGACCCTGGCACACACGGATACTGAGCAGTATTTTAAAGAAATGCTACCTTTTGTCTAAACCCTCGTATGGGTCTTGGAGGGGAAAACGTTTATAAGACTGCCTTTCCCTACAGAGACCTCACCGCTCTGGCGGGGACGGCGTGGTGTTTACCTACATGTAGAGCAAGGTCGCTGGCGCCGCTGGCGCTGCTCTGGGCTCTGAGCTGGCTCAGCTCCGCGTCCGCGGCCTCCTTGGCGGCGAGGGCCTCACGCAGGCGGCGGCTGAGGATGCTCACGGCGCTCTCGTAGGCCTTGTGCTTGGTCTTCATCTCCTTCTCGGCGCTGGTCAGGTCCGAGCCCAGCTGCCTCATCTTCTGCTGCTGCTCTGAGATGGCCCTGGGGTGTCACCAAGGACAGCAAAGGAAGCTCGATTACCTCTGCTGCTCGGCCAGCGTCCTGGTATACAACATCCAGTGACAGTGACGTGCGTCCGGAGTGCGTCCCCAGGTGGGCACGGGGCTCAGACCCAGGCTCTGGACGTGGGTCAGGAGTGCGTCCCCAGGTGGGCACGGGGCTCAGACCCAGGCGCAGGCCTCTGGACGTCGGGTCAGACGAGGGCGTCCCCCAGGTTGGCACGGCGCTTCAGACCCAGGGCTCTGGACGTGGGTCGGAGTGTGCTCCCAGGGGTGGCACGGGGCATCAGACCCCAAGGCTCTGCAGGGCTGGCGTCAGGAGTGGCCGTTCCCCGAGGTGGGCACCGGGGCTCAGACCGGCCTGGACGTCGGTCAGGGAGTGCGTCCCAGGGTGGCACGGGGCTCAGACCCAGGCTGCCTGGACGTGGGCTCCAGGAGTGCTCCCCAGGGTGGGCACGGGGCTCAGACCAGGCTCTGGACGTGGGGTCAGGAGTCCGTCCCAGGTGGGCACGGGGCTAGACCCAGGCTCTGGACGACTGGGCTCAGGAGTGCGTCCCAGAGTTGGCGCACGGGGCTCAGACCCAGGCTCTGGGACGGTGGATCAGGAGTGCGCCCCAGGTCGGGGCACGGGCTCAGACCCGGGCTCTGGACGTGGGTCAGGAGTGGCGTCCCCAGTGGCATGGAGCCAGACCCAGGGCTTCTGGACGTGGGTCGCAGAGTTCGTCCACAGGTGGGCACGGGGCTCAACCCAGGACTCTGGAGGGCCAGCCTCAGCCCCCGCACACAACCCAAACCACACAACGCCGCACCTTGCCGGCACCCGCTGGCGCCTCGGAGGCGGCGCGTCAAGGCAAGCGGTGTGCCTGTCCTGCTGCTGGCTGTGGGAGGGATGGGGGAGAGGCACGCCGGGCGTCCCCAAAGGGCAGGCAGACGGTACGCACGCGCTGACTTTCAGCCATTCCCACACCCACCGCAGACCTGCCCTCCTCTCGGGTGCAATGGGTCGAAAATTGATGTTGTGAGGGCAGAGACACAGTCTGCTCCCCAAGACAGAGGATGCTTCCATCGTTCCTGAATATCGGCTGACATCCAACAGTCAGAGCTACGACGTAAATCACCAGCCAATCAAGAGCAAACCAGCAGAGGATATGCCTGTCGGGGTAAAAAGGCCCCCAAAGCTGTCTGCACACACATGTACTGCACATACACGTACACAGGTGCCTACACGCATATGTACATGCACATACATGTATGTAGGTATATGCGGGTTAGGTCTGTGTGTTCACATTTGTGTGACTATAAGGGATGAGATGAATAAGTGTAGTCCCTGTGAGGGGGTGGGTTGGGAGGGGGCTGCCACAAGTGTGTGGCACAAAAAGTCAAATGGATAGAAACAAAAGGGGAGCTTTGGTTACAGGATGCTTTAGCGAGTCAATAATCTGGGTTATTTTTAGAATGGGCAACTGCCAAATCACAATGGGAACAACTTTACCTTTTTTTTTTTTTTTTCTAATTAGAGATGGGTCTCGCTCTGTCACCTGACTGGAGTGATGGTGCAGTCATAGCTCACTGCAGCCTCCACTCCTGGGCTCAGCCATCCTCTCTGCTTCAGCCTCCCGAGTGCCGGGACTATAGGGTGCACATCACCCATGCCTAGCTGGAACTTAAATGTAGAACATAACACTCCAGGCCGCCTTTACGTGGCCCAAGCTGCTTCCAGCAAGGGTGTCCAGGCCCGCCATGCACGCCCATGGTGG